TATCAGTTGCAGTTGTTGTAGTGGACCTACCAGTGGTAGTTGTTGTAGTTGACCTACCAGTTGTAGTTATTGTAACTGAGCTATCAGTTGCAGTTGGTGTAGCTGAACTATCAGTTGCAGTTGTGGTAGCTGAGCTATCGGTTGTAGTTGTTGTAACTGAAGTATCAGTTGTAGTTGGCGCAGCTGAGCTATCAGTTGCAGTTGTTGTGATAATTGAAGATGAATCATCCGATTCTAGGAAACAACAGAAGTAATATTTTTAATAAAATAACTAAATTTAAAATAAAATCAATTTGATTTTTCAACTAATTTTAATAGAACAAAATCAAACAAATATGTATTCTTATCACTTGGTAAAGAGCTTGTTTCACTCGAAGATTTGTTGTCATCTGTTCCAATTGATATTGTTGATAAATCAGTAGAATCTAAAAAAGATTTATCAATATGTATTTAAGTGTAATAATACTATAAAATCAACGCATACAACTTTTTGTACTCGACGTGGAATTTTTGGTAACATTACCATAACCACCTGAAATAAAAAAAAACATTGTATAATCTTATAAAAATATAATTTAAATATTAAATACTTGTATTTTCAATTCGAGGTGGACTATAAGTTGTTGTTATATCTTCCTTTGAGTTTTCAACTGAAACAATAAATATGTTATTTAATTTTTAATAAAAAAAACAATGAATTATGTAAAAAACGTTTTCTTTCAAAAAATAATTAAAGTTTAGCGTACAAATTTTTCATAGTTCATTAAAAGTCAATTGGCTGTGTTCAATCATAATCAGATACTTTAAATACAATTATATTACACAAATCATAATGATCATGGGATCTTTATTAGACAGATTGGTATGATCCTATCTAGAAATTCTATGTTGTTTTCTTTTTTTCAACGAGAAAAGTATGTTGTCAAAATGTAAGAATATGGTTAATTATATGGTTATCAAAATCATATTTACAGCGTTGAAAATAAATTCAAGTTCGATCCATTTAACTAGAATTAGCTTGAGTAATAGTCTGCTTTCTATTAAGTGTTAATTTCACTTACCACAGTTTTCCGATGTGGAGTTAAATTTGGGAGTAAATTTTAGAATTTGCTTTGTTATTTGATCACTAACAAGCATATTTCCAGATCGATCGAAGCTGATACTATCTAGCATCTCTTGATCTTTGACGTTCTTGTAATTCGAGTTTTTAGGACAGCCGACTAAACATCGATATTGAGTAAACTCTGAGTTGACAAATATGATTCGAGTATTATGGCTGTCTACAATATATAAATTGTCATCAGCATCCAATGTAATATCTGTTGGTTTATCAAGCCAGATATCGGTTATTTTTCCTTCAGATACTATCGTTTCCCCGCTTGTTTGTCCAGGTAGGAAAAGTAAAATCCTGTTCCGCTCCCAATCTGCTACATACAAATTAAAGTTGTCGTTAACAAAGATTCCGTAAGGTTGTTTGAGTTTCTTTGGGCCTTCTTTAGCTTCTTCGGCAGCTATTGTCCATGAACTACTATTAATTCTGAGTGATTTCTTTATAACTATATGAGATTCTGACATAGAACAGTAAATTGTATCATTATTATCAACAAATAGTCCATAACAAGGCTTATTGGTGTTCATGGCGATTGAACGAAGGTATCCATCTGGTGACCATGCATCAATGGTACCTTGAGCACCATTATCAATATAAATGGTACCATTGGACGTGACAAAAAGACTTTTTGGTTTCTTCTCAGGGCGATCCCGAGGATATCTTTGGGATAAATCCCAAGATGGTGATTTTAATTGTGGTTGATTGGCAGATGACTTTAATGTCGTCATCAGAATATTTTTACAGTCAAGTACGTAGACCTGATTATTGCTATCCACAAAAAAATCTTCTAGCTCAGGATCATCAGAGCGGCATGCAGTTGGTATAAATTCGCCCTGGTAAACCCATTTTTTAATTGGACACATGAATTTAGGCCGATTGTAGAACGCTGAAATGAACAGAAACATAGGTTTAACATTCCAAAACTAGTACTGATGTTTTAGTCCTCTTCGTTGATATATAAAATAGACAACATAAGATAGCAGATCGGCGTTTTTATTAGAATCAGAACAGTAAGTGGATAGAATATTACTCTACTCAGCAAATTAATTCAATATTTTTATTTTATTTTATTATTTCACTTGATAGCAACAATCTAGCTAGATATCATTAAACAATTACAACAGATGATACAATTTTTCTGGTATTGTTTATATATATATACTCATTTTTGCATCAGCAAAATTAGTTACAAAATAGATTATTTCGACGATATATGTAATACTAAAATTTAATGAGTTTACTACTATGTATGAATAGCAACAGAGTATGTGGCAAAAGATACCATGATTATTTTACAGATCTACCATTTCACTTATAAAATCTATCTCATAGAAAGGAACATTATCTAAAAAAATCAGGTCAAAGATTTTCACACGCAGGGGCAGTCAACTATAACTGAATCTGAATATTTAGATAATACATCGAATTTTATAGAAAGTTCGTAGAAACAAGCACAATATATTTCTTCAATATAAACGATATTAAATTATATTAAGTTTGAAAAAAAGAGAATATATGCTAACAATATAATAATTACATTGATAGATAGAAAATATACTCGATTTTCTTTTATGTGATAAATAAAATTGAATTTATATTCTAGAATGCATGTTTCTTACAGTTAATTCAAAAAGAAAATAAGATTGACTAAATCCATTCTGTATGAATCTAGTTTTTAACTGATTTAAATTTAGTACAAAAGAAATTAGATTCATTTTTTCGATTCTTTAAGAACGGTATTTAATAAACCATTATAAAGTTAAAAAAAAAGGAATGGCTTTGTAAAGCTTTTATTATCGATAAAATAAACAAATTACTCTAATTTATTCAATAAAGTTTTCGATCAATCTACTTCTCAGTTTCCATTAGAATAGATGACTTGTTATAGAAACTAATAATCGAAATGTAATTCTCACTCATTACATTAATCTTTGCTGTATATACTCTCACAAATTAAACAATCAAAATGAAACTACTCATATATATTCATCTTATTCCAAAGATTCATTAACAAATACTATATATAGAATTAGTCAACAAAAGATGTATTGTAATGATTATCACTCGAGTAATAGTCATAAGGTAGTAAGTATCTCTAATCACTTGAAAATACTTTACCTTCAGAACCTGAAGAAGAATGTATCCATACAATTGTTAACAGTAAAATGCCAATTTGTATTGTTTCAAGCTAAATTTTAAACAAATTAAATAAAATAAACTAAGAAAAAAATATTTCATACCATTTCTGCTGGATCGATAAAATCTAGTCAGTACTTGTAGACTAACTTTATCAGATTGATAAGTATAAAAATGATCATAGAATAAAAAATAGCAAGTCATTTTATAATTTTCTTCTGATACTACAGTAATTTAAGATGTTTTCTTAAAAACTATGTGCGTAATTGAAAAGCGGTTCATTCTCTCAAGAACTTCAATAAGTCATCAAAAAGTAGGTTAACTAATCTACATGTAAAATTAAAGTAAAGATTCATATTTCTTCATTTACATAATAGAAGAAAAATATTAACTTGGAATTAAATTATTTACAAACTGAATAGAAGTTTCTTTTACTAATTGAAAAGGGAATATAACATATGCAATTGTACTCATGATACAATACTTCATTTTTTTTATTAAATAAATTCCAAGTAATATGAAACATTAAATAATTTTAAAAGAAATAATGAGAGAAATGAGAAACTATAGTAAATATGAAATAGAATCTTTTTTTTGAAAAAAAATAATTATAAAATATCAGCTACATTCAAAACATTACTATATGTATTATTGTAATTATTTCATTTATATAAAATCACACAAATCTGTTAAGAAAACAAATACAGTGCATATATCTTATTATTGATGTGCATTGTTTTTGAATAAAAAAAGGCTTTGTTAAACAAAAATACATAACAATAAATAAAGAGATAAAAAAAAACAAAGGACTTGATCTCAAGATGAATTAATGCATCGGATATTTTCTTTTTAGTTTCGAATTTAATCTAAACTGATATGAATGAGAAATAGAACTTATTGTATTGAATCCTTTTTCAATAATAACGAATCTCTTTCTTACACACAATTTTATTATTTAAATGATTGATTCTTTAGATAAAAACTTCAGTCTTGTTATATTTATCAGAAAGAAAAGATCAAGATTAAAATACAATCATCGTTTTATTTTGACTGATGTAATACAATAATCTTATCAATATACATCATATCAGCATCACAAAACACGAGACTATATATATATATATGTGGAGAAGTATGATGTCCAATATTTAGAGCAACTGTTTTTTTTTGTAATGGTATCAAATAGACATACTAGAGAAGAATGAGAGGCAAAGAAAAAATGTATATATATATATATGAGTATGTCATACAGTAGAATAATCAGTTATTCGTAAAGATTCATATTTAACTATCTTTAGATACTCATTGTGTCTGACTTGAAGATCTATACTCAACAATAAGCAAATTTACACGGCTGGACACACGATCACAATAGTTTGACAATTTCTAATTTTATTTCTCTTTTTTTTTCTCCTATATGATTGCATGTTAAACGTTAACTATCACATCGTAGAGAGAAAGAGAGAGAGAGAGAAAAAGCAAACATCAATCGATATGATTGGCTAGTGGTTGTTGATATATTACAAATAAAAAAAAATCAAAGACATATTTTCTCTCCTTTTTTTTCTCTATCGATTGTTTCTTCTCTTTTATTACATTTCGTCTTTTCTATTTTATATAAAAGAAAAAAAGATCGAATATCATTAATGCAACAACAACGACAATAACTCAATTTCATTTGATTATTTTAAATAGAAAAACAAACTATCAAACTCTTACAAAAATTAAACAATATTTTCAATGGATGATTTTCAATCAAAAATGATTTCCAAGTATCTATTTTTATCCTTATACAATTATGAATATATAGATGATTTGTCTTCGAAGAAGATGTGATCTTGATATTGGACAATCAGACATTGTACTGTGTCCAATATCAAGTACAATAGTGTCATATATATATACACAATACAAAAAACGAATAAATATTTAATTAAAATTTATTTCTTTGATTTGTTTTAGTTATACTGATTTAACAAATGGATCTCATTCAGCTGATGTTTTTACAGATCCTTTATCTATTTTACTTGAAGCACGATTTGAACCATGTCAAGTCTGTGGTGAGCAATCATCTGGTCTTCATTGTGCTGCGATTACATGTGAGGCTTGCAAAGTAAGAATAAATATCTATATTGAAATATTGAATATCGAGAAGTAAAATTAGAAATTTTTTCTTCGATCTATAAATGGTGAAGATTTAAAATATAAATGTGTAAGAAATAAAGAATGTATGATAACAAGAAATACTCGAACACAATGTCAATATTGTCGATTTCAAAAATGTAAATTAATTGGAATGACTGTTAAAGGTTAGTGTAATATGTTTTATTTTAATTATTTATTCATAGGAATAATAATTTTAGAAGGTCCAGAAATACAACAAACACCACGTGTAGCTGATATATTTGCTCAAATATCTTGTTATGTTTGTCAAGCACCTTCTAGTGGAATTCATTTTGGTAGGAAATTAGGATTTATTTTTTAGGATATATTTGATTTATTGATATATATAGGCGCGATCACTTGCGAAGGTTGCAAAGTAAGTCTTACATGTTTTTAACAACAGGTGTTTTTTTAAATTTTGTATTTATAGGGTTTTTTTCGAAGAAGTATTAAAGAAAGAGCACCAAGTCGTTATAAATGTATGGATAATGGTACATGTGAAATAAATGCATCGACAAGAAATGGTTGTCGTTATTGTCGATTTCAACGTTGTATTAAAGTTGGCATGTCTGTTGAAGGTAATTGATATTATCTAGTTGTAGTTTAGAAGAAAATTATTGATAAATTTTGTTAGGAAGTCGAATTGGACGTCAAAGTAATTTATTTAAACATCATATGCGTTCGTATAAATTTCAATATTATTATATTTATTCTATTTTAAATTCTTAATTTAAGGTATGATGCTTCAACGAAATGATCAAATTTCGAATACTACAATGATCCATCAAATGATTCAAACAATGCCTACAACTGTACGAAATAAACGATCAAATAAAAAACGAACAGTTAGTGAATCAAGTGATTCAGAAAGTGAACGTAAGTTTTTAGTTAAATTATTTTTCAAATATTAAAAAGAAGAAGATATGTAACAAGGATTTCATTAAATCAACAATACTTCAGTAGTGTAGAAGTCGTTAACTCGATCCGACTTGAACGGATGTTATACTGGCTTTGACTGCCAATAACGTTCATATTTTATCCCCCTGAGGGGGGTACAAATACATTTTCGGAAGAAAAATAAGTTTTTAGTAGAAAATTGGGCGATAAGAAACCGGTAGAGTTACCGGTCTAAAGTACGGACCGGTACCGGCTCCATCTCTGGTGTAGGTGGATGTATTCTTCTCATTCATTACCCCCACATAACGTAATGTCATATATTTTATGTATTTAGTAACACTATCTACATGGACAATAATTGATTACGAAGATCAATTAGATCATCAAAGTAAAGAATTAATTTTAACTATTCATAAAGCATACAAAGAAACACTCGAAGTAAAATAAAAAACCGAGAAAAAAATTGATTTCTTATTTATATTATTTTGTAGAATATACCTATATGTCAAAGTAATAGTACACCTTGGTTATCTTGTATGAATCAATTTAAAAATTATGCAAATCGTACAGTTAAATTTGCTACACGTATTCCTGGTTTTATGAATTTACAAAATGTAACTGATCAAGTTCAATTAGTTAAATCAAGTATTCATAGTTTAATTATTGTATGTTTACAACGTTTAAATAATTGTTTTCTATTCAATTATTTTAATACAATTGATGAAAAATTAAATAATGAATTTGAAAAATTATTTCCTTTTATTAAAACAAATTATTCTGATATAGAAAAAATTCAAATTTATATATCATCATTAAAATTAGATGAAAAAGAATTTTCATTATTACTTTCCTTACTTCTCGTATCTACAGGTAATACTTATCTTAATGATTTTTTATTAATTGATTCTACTCAAACGCAATTAACAATTCTATTATCTGATTATATGGATTGTAAACGTGGAGAAAAAAATCGAGATTTTTATACAGTAATGTTTTTATTACCAACATTAAGAAAATTAAATACTATCATACAAGAACAAATAAGAAATGAAATGCCAAAAAATATCGAATATCCAGCTTTTTTTTCAAGAGTTTATCTTAATGAACACAATATTGTAAGATTAATAATTAGCAATTAATAAATTTCTTTTTTTCTTTTGTTTCAGAATTTGGATGGTAGATCAAATAATAATATTATTGTCGATGAATAATAACATGAGATTTATAATTCATTTCAATAAAGAACAGTATATATAAAACTCCATTTTTTTGTTTTTATATTCATTTAACCGGTTGTATTTGTAACAGTGTTTGTATGTATATGTCTCTTTATTTGATAAAAACTCAGATGTCTTTCTTTTTTGTCTTATTTGTTGTTTTAAAGAAGAAAACTTTGTCTTATTAAGGAATATTTGAAACTAAATTTCGATTTGACATATTATTTAAATGATCAGTACCACATTTTTTTATCCATTGTGAATCATTAATAGGTGGATAATATAAATAACAAAGTGGATCAACAGGAGTAGCTTTATGTGATGATGGAGCTGTTCGTAATGATAAAAATGTACCAATTAGACTAACAGATACGAATATTATTAAAAATAGACGATCAAGAATTAAAGCAATAAAACGCCATTCTTCAACAATCTAAATATAAAAGATATAAATTATTTAACCATTTCTTCTATGACTCATAAGATTCCTATTCGAAATTTTGACATAAATATAGATTTCCTGTCAAAATGATTAATGACAAAGGTACATAATCGTTTCTAGTTCTTAATGAGGTTATAGTAATGTTAAAAACATTCGTTCTTTTGTTTCTTCCATACTGCGATACAATCAAATCTATATCGGGGGGGAAAAAAATCTTATTTTTTTAGTTTTCCTGAAATCTACTTGTAACTGAGATATTGAATCAATAGCTTGTAAATACTTATTACATCTCTCGTCAGTATCTTATTGCGCGTAATCTATTTCTAATTGATGATTTTTTCACATGAGTAAACGTCTTTCGATAAGAGAACAGACGATTATATAATAATCAACGGTTAGTTAATCTTCATAACATGCATGTCAATATTCTCGTTCGAAGATTTCTTGATTGATGTTTTTCTTTCCTCTGTGTCGGGGAGTGTGTAAGATATAATTAGAATAAAACTTACTTCTTTTTCATTTTGAGCATTTTCAATTTGTTCAGCAATATATGCAATATGATCAGCTGTTTTTCGAGCAATAGATCTTCGTTGTTCATCTTTCCATGGAAATGTTAAAGATTTATTTTCAATATTATTTTCATATGCTTTTGCTCGAACATATACATATCGTGGTGGCATAGGTGGTCGTTCCATAAATAATAATTTTGGTAAATAAATTAAAAGAATATTTCTTATAAATGGTGACATATGTGTTGTTGGATAACGACGAAAATGTATATTAAGCGTTATTATTGTTATTATAATTGATAAATTAACAATAACAAGTGTAAATAATAAATATTTACCAAGTAATGGGATAACAACTGATGTCGGTGGAATAAGTTCAATAAGTAATAAATAAAACACAAGTAGAGCAACAAGAATTGATATTGATAATGTAATTTTTTTTTTACTATCAGATGGTAAAAGAAAAACAAGTACAGCAAGAACAGATATATTAAAACATGGTATGATTAAATTAACTATATAAAATAATGGTTTTCGTTGGACAATACATGTAAATGTTAAATCAAGATAAACTTCAACACAACATGCATATACTATTTCATGTCGAATAGCTCGAAGATCTTTAAAAACGAGAGAGAGAGAATGAAATAACAAGTTTGTTTTTCTATTTCAAAAATTTTACTTGTGATTTCCCATTCAATGGATGGAGTATAATCTTCAAGATCCCAACCACGTTCAAGAACAGAAGATTCATTATTTGTTAAAAATTGTAAATTAACAAGTAAACCCTAACACAAAAAAAAAACTTAGTTTATATATTTTTTTTCTGAAAATTATATTACATGATATGTCCATGTACCAAATTTCAGTGTACAATTTTGTATATCAAATGGATAAAATTCAATATCAATAGAACAATAAGATTTATAGATCATTGGAGGATTCCATTTAACAGTTCCATCATATCGAATTTGTGCTTTGGATCTTGTAGTTATTTGATAATCACCATCAGCATCTAAGATTGAAAAAAACAAATAAAATATACATTTTTATATATAAATTATATTTACTATTATAAAGAACAAGATCAGGTTTCCATATTAAATCACTGGGCATTTGAATATATTCTACACCACCAAAATCTTCTGGTGACCATATAAAACTAAAATCTTGCCATTCCTTAATAGTATATATATATATATTAGATTACTCATTTTGAGAAAAAAATATATCCAAATCGACTTACATGAAGTACATAGACATGTGTTTGCATTATTTGATTTTTTTCGTCCTAAATGACATTGATAAATATATAACAATTGCCCTTTTGCTTTTCTTATATTATGAAAAATACCTATTACCATCAGTAATCATATCAGCACTCAGTTATCTAGCAACAGATGTGTTTCTTTATTCCTTTTACTCGATACTTTATTTAGGTTATACACACACACATATATATATATATAGATAGATGTATACATATGTGTATATATATATATATATCGGCATCATCTTTTTTTTTTCTATATTTACATTTCATTCAGTTCGGAGTGGAAACAAGTGTATATATGTAAATTATTTCTTATCCTTTTCTAGTAACTCAATTATATAATGTATATATAAACGTAGAAGAGAAAAATAGGACGATTGAGTATAATATATACATACAACATCAGCTATTTGTATAAGTTTGAGACCAAGTTTGACGGTAACAATATCAGAATTATTTCTTACTGGACGAACATTTTTATTATAATTGTTCATTAAATAATGATAAAGTTCATTCGTTTTATCACTACTATGGACTATAAGAAGAAAAAATCAAATTTTTTGTTATTCTTTGATTATTAAATTACCAAATGTAAATGTAATATTAAGTAAAATGAATGAATATGAAAAATAAGGCTTCATCTGGTATAATTTCGCAACGATATTTGGATAATGAATGGTGTCATTTGTGTCTTGATGAATCCAGCTGTGGTCATGACCTCGTAATTCTTCTTACACATTATAAATCTGAACAATTGATAATGATCAGTTTGGCAGTAGTCATGCTCTTTTTTTTCTTTCCATTTCCTTTAGAAGTTCTTGGATCGAAGAAAGAAATAGGATAGTTAAAATGAAGCGAAGACATATATCCTAGAAGAAATAGAACCGAACAAGAAGAAGAAAGAAGAATAAGAAGAAGGCGAACAAGAAGAAGAAGGAAAAAGGAGAGAGAGAAACCAGATAAATTCTAAAGAAAGAGAGATGAAAGGCGTTCTTGTCATCGACCAAAGTATTGATAGCAAGAAAAGAAAGATAGGCAGAAAAAGAACGAGTGATGACAATTCCAAAAAAAACCGCCGAAAAAGAAACAGCATTCCTTCGTGCATATAGCTTATTGAGTAAATTAGTCATGCAAATATTGTAAAGGCAATGTTTGCCGATGAGAATAATCAATTGATCATAGTGTTGTTACAAAATAAAGATTCTTTTTTTTTTGAAACTTTCAATCGTCTTTTTTTGCTTTCTTTCTTTTCCGCTCTTTCATTACTTATTCTTTTTCTAATATCAGTCGTCTACCAATCATAAATCTGTTAATAGACAAAAAAACAAATATCATTTCTGGAAAGTTTAAGATAATATTATTTCTCGTTAAATCGCATATATTTTTATGTAATACATAATAAGAATGTTACACAGTTATCTATATCAAATGATAATATACATATGATTTGTATATTTCATGGGGCGATATTCAATGAATCATCATTACTAGGAGACATTTATGGTCTTTTTATCATCTTGTATTTATCAAAATTGTTATTTTCTTATTTGTACCCATTAATATCTAACTGCCGTACAACAAACGTCGTCGTATTTTTTTTATTCAACCGAAAAATTAATGAGATAATGCAAATAACTGTATAAATCTTATGCTATATCTTTGACTATCAAACATAAATACATGAAAGCAAACAACAAATCTTTCTCTGTCAATAAGACGAACAGCTGCGTGTCTTATTATTGATTACAATAAATGATAATCATTCGTTCTAAGAGATAAAAATCAATACTTTCTCAGTATTCTATATCTAAATATTAATATAAATGTACAAAATAATAATTTATTTGCAAAAAAAAAATAAGAAAATTAAAACCAATGAGATTGAATACAATCAGTACGAAATTCCATTTCACAAATCCAACACCATGTCATACCACAATGAGTACAAGATATTGCATTACAACCACCTATATATGTTATAAGAAAATTTTTATATCAATTCTATAGATTAACTCACCATCTTTCTCAATTTTTACAGAACATCTCGGACATTTTTTTACAAGTACTGATGATGTTTCACGTTGATAATTAAATAAATAATTCCAAAACTACAAAAAACATACATATTAAATTTATTCATTCTTCTTTCAAATTATTTTTACTGAATATGGTCGATTATCATCATTTTTATTATCATCTTGACATAAACAAACTTGAACTGTATCATCTTCCCAAAGTGTTTTACAATTTCGACAAAATGTTTTCTAGAAGAAAATAAACATAAAATTAAATTCATATAAAATATATCTTCATCATACTCCACAACCAAGTGGTAATGGACAAATTATTTTTAAATTGCTTTCATCAAGAATCAATCCACAGCCACATGATGGCATTGGACAAATAACTCCTTGATGATTAAATACATATTCTTCTGCACCAAATATTTTATATCGTTCATACTATATATACAGATATAGATAGATAAATATAAATAAATATATTCCAAATATATATATACATTTGACTTATCCATTAAACGAAAAATATGTAAATCACGAAGAAGTGTATTTGGACAACCATCTGGACATCCAAGGCTATATCCAATATTTGAATCAAGTTTAAATTGACGACTATTTAATTTTGTTATAGCATATTCTTTAAAACATGATAGACATACATGATGATTACAATCAAATACAATAATTAAATCTCTTTGAAAAAAAAAATAATAATAAATATTTCAATATAGAAAAATTAATTACTTTTTATTTAAACATATACAACATTCATATTCAGTTTTATTTGCTTTTATTATTGATGATAGATGTACGTCAGGTATAGAACTTATTTGATTAGTCATTATTGAATTTCATAGTTTTCTGTTAACATCTACTATAAAATCGTGCTGATTTGTTTGCATGTATCTGTTAGAAGATCAACAGAAACAATAGTAAATTCGATTGGTTGATTAGATTTACCATTGTAATTCCTAGCCGTAAGACGACGCTATTGATTATTATTCAGTTTCTTACGATAAACATATAATATTTTATACAATTATTCATTTTTGGTATATAAGTTCAATATGCTTATTATTGTGGAGAAAAAATATCTGTTGAAATGTCGTGAAATATATAAACTGATCGTCATAATAATCACATAATAAGAAACGACTAGTATTTATTTGGGCAATTTAAAAATTGAAGTGAGTGGTAATTAAAAATACGAATTAGCAATAATTCTTGAACAATAAAAAATATTTTTCAGCAATTATGTATTACGCAATGGATAATAATGAATTGATGAAACTGCAATAATAAATATATATTTGAGCAAGAACAAAGGGGGTGATCGAAAATCGTCACTTTTTCCGCACTCTAAAAATGTCATAATGCGAAAATCTTTATCACTTAGATCCCAGATCTGATTCTTTTTTTTCAGCGATTCCCATAGGGAAGTACCTGAGTCTAGTATTGAGTAGTTCCGTGGGATGTCAAACACAGAGTATTCAGAAAATTTTATCTGAAAATTTTCTTTCCCCTCAAACTTTGTAGAGCTTCTTTCACTGATCATTTTCATATCAGAAAGTTTTGGACTCTATTGAGAAATAATGACGCTATCATCAAAATAAAAAACATAGTAAAATAGCTTAAAATCCCATATTTTTCCTTATAAAATATAGGAAAAAGTCGAGTCTCTAATTTTGAACCGACTATATTCTCAAGAAATATAACATAGTAGGTTTTAAAGAGCACAGTTTTCTCTACAAGACCTACTATGTCATATTTCTTGAGACTATAGTCCGTTCAAGATTAGAGACTCGACCTTTTTCTATATTTTATAAGGAAAATGGGATTTAAACTATTTTACCGTATTTTATTTTGATGATAGCGTCGTCATTTTTCAATAGAATTCAAAACTTCCTTATACGAAAATGATCAACAAAAAAAACTCTACAAAGTTTGGGGGAAAAGAAAATTTTCTGAATACTTTGTGTATTTGTGTTTGGAACCCCATGGAACTACCCTACTGAGACCCAGATACCTCCCTACGGCAAACACGGCAAGAAAAGGATCAGGTCTAGGTGATAAGGACTTTCGTATTATGACATTTCTAGAGTGCGGAAAAAGTGACGATTTTTCGATCACCCCCTTTAGTAACAGAAAAATTACTGTTTGATCAAAGTATTTTTAGCTTTAGATGGCGGGTGTGGGTATGGGTGTGTAAGTCATTCTTTTCTTATACTATACAGACATGCCCACACCCGTTCTTTTACATATGGTCTTTCATTACCCTTGCTATATAATATTTATTTTTAGTTTCAATTATTGCTGAATTATCAAATTTTAGTCTTTCTAAAAACACACAAGAGAATACCAACTATTCAATAAATTAGAAAACAATTTCTATATAATTTATAGTTCAACTCTATATGATGTAAATACTATTGATTTGAATAGATAAGAATGAATAATTATAAATATTAAAGAAATAGTTATGAAATATAATATTTTCTAAAACAACTGTTCTCTTATATTGAAATCTAATACTTTTGAAAAAATCTTTTTCATTTATATTCATTTCAATAAAAAGAAAACTAAAACACACATATTAATCATGTTCTTCTTATTATTATTTCTTTATTCTGTGTATTCTGTAAGTTCATTAAGTAATCAAGAAGATTTAACTATATCGAAATATTCTCAAATTGGTTGTTTAATTTTAAGATCTGATAAACAATTTCTTGTTAATAATATTCAAGAAAATCATTTATTACCATATCAAACATTATCAAGTTCACATATGACTATTGAATTATGTTTTCGTCTTTGTCGACAATGGACAATTTTACTTTCAAATAATCAAACAAATTGTATATGTTTATATACAATAAATAAACCCTATGAATTCAACAGATATTTAGGTGAATTTTCTTCAATAAATAATTGTACATCAAATGATATACAAATATATTCATTAACTGAAAATATTTATTTATTACCAACATTATTATCACAACGAAGTGATGATTGGTCATTTGATGGTTGTTATTATTTAGATAGTTTAGAAACAATTCAAGCTAATATCAAATTAATTAATATGAATTTTATTCAAGCACTTGATTCATGTCGAAAACATTGTGAAACAATTCCTGTAACCAATCATTTTTCATATTTTCTTTCACGTAAAAAATCTTGTTATTGTTTACCAATAAAATATTTTCAAAAAACAAAAATAATTGCAATACGAAAACCATTAATACATTGTTCATTTCTTCCTAATATATGTCAAGGGTTTATAAATTCATGTAGAAAATATTCATATGAGGTAAATTCCAATAGTTTAATTAAAATCGATGTACATCATTATTGTTTATCAACTGATATGATTTCACTTATATTTGATAGAATATTTAATATGTGTTTGAAATCAATATTAATTCATACACCAACAAATATTTCAATATTATATTCAAATTATAAATGTTTACCATTAATTATCAAAACATTTGAACAATGGAATTATTTCATTCAATCATCGTGGATAACATATACAAAAATAATACTTTCAATTGATAGAAATTCGACATATATTTTTAATGATTTATTTCAATATAATAATTTAACATTAATATCAAATGAACTTTGTATTTCAATTATGAGAACAAGTTCAAATAATATTTCATATGAACTTATTTCATGTTCAAATGTATATACACCTGCTTATATTTTATGTGCACAAAAACCTTTTCAATCAACAAGTTCATATGAAGAAGATTTTCAAATAATGTATGTAAATATATTTTTTCCAATCAGATAAGATCAGTTGTGTAGATTTTTTTGATATATTTTTAAAATATCATAGAAAATATTTCTCAGACTCGGTGTATCATCATTTTGGAAAAATAGCCGGTGGTGAGTTTCGAACATAAGACTAATTGAAAATATTGTCTAAATCAATTAAACTAATTTCTACGATAATATTATGAGATCATACATTAACAATTAAGTATCTTAAATTTAGACATAATCAAACTGAAACATCTACTATTAATGAAATTTTATCTTGTCCAGAAAATTTTGTCTTATTTAATAAAATATGTTATTATATTCATACATCATTTGTTTATAATACACTAGATAGTGAACGTTTATGTTATAATCAAAGTATCAATAGTACACTTGTTAAATTTGATTCGCAGGAACGTGGAAATATAAATGTAACAAAATTTCTTGGTCGAACATTTAGTGATATTTTACTTGAATTCTTTTATTATATATTAGAAAAACAATTATCTATTCAATCAAAATATGATTTAAATAAAAGAAATTCATTACGATTACTTATTGGTGATAAAAATGATCCAAAAGAATGTTTTTTACGTTATTTTCAACGTTCAGCAGGTGGCTTCGTAGTTCTGCATCGATGTAGTAATGGTGGATATCCTGTTTGTCAAACTGAACCAATTCGAACAAAAATAATATCGATTAATCAAACAATTTCTATAGTAAATGACTCAACAATCGAAACAACAACAACAACAACAGAAATTATTTTATTCAATTCAACAAATAAAACAATTATATCTTCTATTAATGAAAATGATACAACTAATTTTTCTATAATAGCTGACGAAGATCTTGTTAATAATGAAACAGGAGTTGATTTTCAATCTTATAATAATGTATCAATACAAACTATCCGAAAACATTCAAAATATCAACCATTAATTTTAATTCTTACTGGTCCGATATTAGGATTAATTTTATTATTCACAGGATTTAGTTTACTTATTTGGCAAATTCGACAAAATCGTAAATCACGTTCGAATCGTAGTAGTATCGTCGGTGCTCGTCGAACAAATCGTTCATCAACAACTGTAACTATTAATGATATACCAAATACACCTACAGTTTTATATACTCGTTTTAATCGACCACATGTACCATTATTTGAAACAGATCCATTACTTCCATCAGATAATCTATTTCCAAATGATGATAGAATTGAACTTTTATCTGCAAATCGAGTTCAAATAATTGATGATGAACTATTATCTGTTAATTTAAAGTGACATCTATTGAAAACATCTCCAATTCATTTTTGTCTTCGCCATTCATTGATGATCTTTCAACTTTATATCAAACTACATTATATTTTCTTTCTTATTTTTTTAATAATAAACAGAATGAATATAATATAATTGCATGAAAAATTTGATTTCTTATTATTCTTTTTCTTTCAGATGTCTTTGCCAGTAAAAAAAGCTCGAGATTTAACTCAATTACCAACACTTTCCTATGAAATTAAATTAAATTTACCAAATAATCTTGATAGTAATCCACAAGAAATATCTTTCTTGGATTTAATTGCAAATGATACAAAATTTGTAAGATATCATTATTATATTGATTTACTTATATTTTTTTTCATCTAGAAAAATGATAAAGAAAGTTTAGAACTAGTATTAAGTTCTTATGTTAAAGCATGTGGAAAACAAAGTGTCAAAGAAATCCTTGCAGAGCATGATGTAAATTTTACTTTTCTTTTTATTCTTAATAATATTTATTTTTTTGTTCAATAGACTCTTGTTGAAGATAATGCATCATTATCTGATATAATTCATGCATTAATGGATTCAAATGATCATCAAAATGCAAATTTAGGTGTAGGTTATAATGATCCAGATGATGATGATTCATTTATTGATGATTCAGTTGCTGCACAAGATATAATACCAAAAAATGTCACTAATGAACGAGATGGATTTTATGTTAATGAAAAACATCAACCAATAAATGCTCGATATTTAAGTGATGCAAGTGATTCTGATAGTGGAGATGAAGAGAAGGAAAATGATGATGATGATGATGAATCAGATGACAGTGAAAAAGAAGAAAAACAAAATAAGAAAAGAACGAATAATCAAGATGATGGAAATGAAAAGGTACTTGTAAAAAAGAGTAAAACAGATGATGATATAATACCGAATTTATTAAATACAAAACGAAAAAGGTATGTAGTATTTTTATTAAATTATCAAAGATCGAAATTGTTTTATTTCAGAAGTATATCTGAAGTAGCAGCACCTCCTATATCAATTAATTCTGATGACAAAAATAAAACTAACAAACCAGTTGAAGAACCAGTTAAAAAAATTGCAAAATTAAATGAAACGCCAACTGAACAATCTACACAAAATTGTACAACATATGTTCTACCAAATGAAATGGATAATGATATTAAACCATCTATTGAAAATATAGTTAAAGTTAGTTTTGTTTTATGTCGAAAAAATTTGATAATATTTTTTTTATTTAGTTAATTAAATCATCTGATCCAACAATGAATAATATTCAAAAGAAAATTGAACGACTTTTTAATTCAACTACCTGTCGTGAATTACTTGAGTAAAGAAAAGTTTTTTTTATTGAAAAATATTTTAGTTTTAATTTTTGTTGTTTTTAGTTTGGTAAAAAAACTTCATCGTCATACAAATGCTCATCGACAATTAGTTTTCGATATTTTAAGTACAAAAACTGGTATATATACATCAGTATTACTAACACGAGCTCGTTTATTATTATTAAATGATTATGAACCATCGACGAAAACATTTTCTTTAAATGAACTTAAAGAAAAATTAAAAATTGAAATAAATCGTTCATTAGAAATTCATATACAAGCACATAATCAAGCAGTCAAGTTTGTTATATTATTATTTGATTATTTTTCTTTTAGAATAATCTATTTTATTATTCTAGAGAATGGCAACAGAAAATGGTTGAAAATCCATCGAAAGATAAAAATCGAGGACCAAGAAAAAACTTTCGTTTACACAAAGCTATAAAGTAAATCAACAGATCACCATTATTTAGAGTTTTTTTTTAATTTAATCTTTCTTTTAAGTGAATTAATCATTCGTTGTATCGATCGTAAACTTGAAACAATGACAATATTCGATTCAGATTCGTTAGAATCATTTCTTCATGAACATATTGTTTCGTTATGGGAAAAACCTGGATGGATGACAGCAAAGTATAATTTGATATAATGAAAAAAACTTAATTAAACATTTTTTTTCTATTTTTAATTAGAAAAATTATTAGTGAAGTCGTTAGATTAGAATATCGACCATTACGAGATCCTAATCCACCTCAAACTCAACCATCACAAGTAAAATATCATATTATTTTATTTTTTATATTTAATAAAACAAAAATTTAACTAGGCTGTACGATCAACACCAACACCGATAACAGCTGAACGAGTGAAAAAAGAACCTCAAACAGTTCCAGCACTCCTTCCACCACCACCACTACCACCTCCGCCACCATCACTTCCATCATCACCGAAAATATCAAATTCTAATATATCACCTATAAAAGTTCCTCAACAACAAAACGTGAAAGTAAATGATATTAGTAAATCTTCAAGTCAATCATTAACAAATAATAATAATCAAATAAAAGCTTTCGAAATGGCTACACGTGTTGCAACAAATCTTATTAAACAACATACATCACGTCCATCATCTACTGATTCAGTGACTAGTCAAGTAAATATATTTTATAGAATCCATTCATGTTTTTCTCTTAAAACTTATTCTTTAAGGTATCGGAACAGTCTTCAAATAAAATAAATAAATCGGATATTGTTCGTCCAATAGCAAAGCCATCAATTGTTTCTCAACCTGAATCATCAACAAAACGTAATTCAACTCCAAATTTTTCTTCGGTTATTGATCTTACTATGGATTTATTTTCTCAATATAAAAAAAGTTCAAATGAATCGAGTAGTCCAACATTAAAACAACATACTCATTCACATTCAAATAAAGATTCATCATCATCATCATCATCACAACGATCATCATCAACAGTCCATAATTCTAAACAACAATTTGCTACAAAACTTCCATCAGAAAAATTGCCAGCTGGATCTTTTCTTAAAGAAGCACTTAGTGGTGCGGCAGCACCAAAAATGTCTACATCACCATTAACTGTTGATAGTATGCTGAATAAATCACAGAATAGTCCAAAAACGAATACAAATACATCTAGTTCAAAATCATCAACGACAATACAAAGTCCAACAACAACAAATACTCAACGTTCTTCAACATCAAGTAAAAGCCATTCAAATCGTCATTCAACTGATTTTACTTCTACTTCTCATAGAATTGATCAACAAGTTCGATTGAATTGTTTTAAAAGAATATTTATGTCATTAATCCTTCATTTAGATTCAACAACAACTAAAAACACCTTCATCTTCAAATCGATCGCAATCAGCTATAGTATCACCATCGTCATCAATTTCACCAGCAGCATCTCGACGTCCAACAACAGGATTTACTTCTACACATGAACAACAGGTAAATATTTATTTATCGTTTTACAATTTTAACAATTAATAACATTCAATTTTAGTCAAATCGTGGTCATTCATCTCAAATACCAATTCCTCCAACATTATCATCATCGATTCAATGGGATTCTGCAACATTACAATTAGCTGCTGCCCTAGCTAATCCTCAATTACTCAGTTCAGGTGTATTTGATTCAACTTTATTTAATTCAGTTTTTGGTACAACACCAAATATGATTGCATCATCACAATCCTCATCATCCTCATCATCATCGTCACGTCACCAACATTCACAAAATACAAATAATAATCGAAGAACTTGATACTTATTAATTAAGAAACATGAGAAAGTTTTCTTTTTTTCTTTACTGTGATGTTAATAATTCACTGTCTTTGACATTGTGCCGTCTATGTGTACAATTTCTTTTCTTTTATGTATATATTCATGTCTCGGTGATCAGAACAAAATGTTCATTTTTCTGTACAAAAAAAAAAAATATTATTTCGATGTGGAAAATTCATAAATTCATCTAGAATATACAAGATTTATTAACTTGATTTCAAAGAGATTATAGGGTGTGTGTGGATGTTCATCTTTTAAGGTGGTTTATACTCACATTCACACTCACATCCTTTTTTAGAAGAAAAAAAGTCTTCAAAGTTTGTTTGCGCACTCTAAAATATCTGATGATGTCATAGGTTATGAATAAAAATATTTATGTTATGTTGAAAATCGAACGCTTGAAATTGTTTTATTCGAATATCATAAATAGTAAAATCAAATTTAATGCACAAATTATTGGTGTAATGAAGAGACAAGGAGCTAGATAATCATGATTTATTAGGTAAATCTGTGATTAATTGGGCGATTATTGTTTCGATGGATCGCTGATTTCGAGGACATGCTGAACTAAAATTTATACGTCTGTATTCTCTTGATGATGTTGTGCTTCATATAACATCTCGTATCATTGTAAACTTTTTCGTAACAACTTAGTTTTGGTAATAAAAAAGCTTTCATCTAAGTATTCGATCGATTTATTCAAATGCAAATTTTTTTTACATAATTCGATAAAATGAATAAATTATTTTTAATTGTGAAACAGACATTAAAATGTGATTTCGTAAATATTATATATAATTGATCAATGTCTAGATCAAATGGTGTACCCTCAATTGGTCGAAAGAAAAATGTAGAAAAGACGACGACGAATAATGCCGAAAGAAGAAATGTCGAAAGGAGAAATATCGAAGAAAAAAATGCCGAGAAGAGAAATATCGAAAGAAGTATGTCGAAGAAGCAAATGAGCGACCATTAATCAATTAGTTGATGAAAGACTATATCCTTTATTAACTGTATAATAAGAATTGAACATTTCAAGAAAGACTATTCACAGATGATGACAAGAAAAAGAAAAAAAATCATTTTTTTCATTTAGCAACAACAAATAATAATCTATGTAAATATTCCATTAGAGTGATAAGACCATCATTGTATCTCATATTGAGATTATTTATACGACGAATTTCGAGGAAAACTTTATTGCACCTATACACATGTTCAATGTCATCAATTAACTACGACCTCTCTCTTTTCAATAGTTTTCAATTTCAATATATTTTCTCTCTTACATTCTCTTTTCGATATATTTCTATTCGATATTTCTTTCGTCGGCATTTTTCTCTTCTATATTTCGTCCGTCGATATTTTTCCATTGATTTTTTCTCTTTCGACATTTTTCTTTCGGCCAATTGACGGCCAACCGATCAAATAGACGGCATCAGGTGTGTTTCCTTCTTTCTTCTATTTTATGATAACCAATCACATCATATAAATAAAAAGTTGATGACATTCTATTTGATGATTATCATTTAACAATAGAAGCAAAGAAATGTTAGGTCAATTTTTGCCGAGCTGTCGCTCATTTTCTTTCTTCAGAATAAAAAGAAACATTCATTTCTTACCGAGAAAGGCTTACTATCGTAGAAAGAAACAAGAGAGAAAATGTGGTAGAACAAAGAACGATCATCGTTCTCATATAAAAGTAGGTACATGTGTAGAATAGGGACACCACCTCTCTCTCTATATATATATGTGTGTAAACAAACAAAAAACACAAAAGTCTCCAAAATCTTTTAAATATATACCATTTTGTAGAGATTTTTGTGTTTTTTTGATTGTGAACATATATATATATGTCCCTATTCTACACATGTACCATTCTTCACTGTCTTCACCTTATTATACATTATCAAATCCAATTCCATATCAAATTCTTTGTCATTAACCTTTATCAATTATTGAAAAATTAAAAACTGGATTAAATTTTATTGATATTCTTTGTCATGAACAAAGCAAACATCGATCACAAATAATTCGTCTTATAATTTATCAAAATCAAGATAAAACTTTAATTGTTTATCGAAGTTTATGTCGTCATGCTGGAGGAAATTTTGTTCACGACATTGAAGATTTACCTGAAATAGTTCGATGTGCATATCATGGATGGAAATTAAATGTCAAAACATTAGAATATATTAAATCAGCTAAGTCTTAAATAAAAACAATTAACAATTGATAAAAAAGATAATGGTGAATTAGTTATATTAGAACCATATTATATGAATCATAGATTTTTTTTGTCGTTCTTTATATCTTTTTTTCTTTTCTTTCTATCCTTATAGCGCTTGCCAGTGTTCTGTTTCGCTGTCTCTTATTCATATATGCTTACATTCTTCTCAACGTTTAGATGCTTTTTAACTTCTTTTTTTCTCAATATTTATTCCCTCAAGGACCATACAAGCTAACTTCATGTCTGACGTAACCACATTGATAAGTATATTGATCAAGGGGGAAGAAACTGATTCAAATCATCTGAAAAGCAAAATTATCTCATTTTAAATCAAACAATCACGAATCGCTCCCCCCTGATATTGATACTCTCCGCATTGATGTTGTTGCTTCATTCTTACATATCATATTTTTCTTCGTTTTATATCATCGTGTAAGTATTTCCTAGCGTTATATTGGAAGAGCATAATTAGAAAAAGAAGTGTTTTCATATTTATTTTTAGAAAACCACTGCAGACCTAGTTTTTTTTCCAAAACTACCGTTTATTTAGCTCAAAAAAAAGCGTTAACGGTACACTGATTAGTAACACGTTACGGTTCACAAATAAATTCGTAACGTCGATTGTACGATAATAAAATATCATTTAAATAATTCTAATTACAAAGACTCTATTAATCGTCCATATTGCAGTTAGATTTGAGATACTCAGAAATGTTATCTTGAATCCGTACATGATCATTACTACTACCTGTAAGATGCAACACTTAACTTTTTCATTACATGTTTTTAGATATATTCAGTCAAGAACTTGTATATTGATCGATTAGGATTTGATGGAAGAAACGTCTGATATGAACGCATCCCAATCTGACGATGAATCATCTGATTACAAAAGAAAACTTGGTATCGTAGATATTACTTATGGTAACCATAAAATCGATATGTCCTCCTGTTCACAATCATTTGGTAACGTAAAAAGTTTTAAAACACCTCCAGGTAAGAAGCAGTAATGCTTAATACGCAAACTATTCCTGATTTGTCAAATTGCTGGATCTTCTTTATACACGATGTAATAAAAAATATCATGAATTCAAGTCTAGAGATTAATATGACCACTATTTCTAATTATCATGAGTCGTAAAAATTCTATTAGGGTGTGGATGTGGATATGACTGTAGATAAAAGAAGGCTAAAACAGCAATATTCATACCCACACTCTCAAGATAGGATAGAGGATGGCTCCAACTTTTTACTCTATGTAACTCAACATTAATTTTAATTCGTGTTTCGTAAAATAAGTTGAAATTATTTTTTAAGTTTGTATTTTTATTAATTAGGCATAGAAACAGAAGCTGTATCAAACATTCACAACAGTGAATCCGCAACCACAGATAAAACTTATAATGATATCAAAGTTCAAGGTAAGATGATTGAATGCGTATTTTATAAGAAATAAAATATAATTTCTAAATTATTAAAACAAGTCTTTTCTTTCTGATAAATTTTATTGAGTGTTTTTTCAAGTGCTCATCTTGAAATACCGTTTTCGTTTAGAGCATACATATTTCATAGAAGATAATCTGCCAGAATATCAGTATGAGTTTGATTGCATTTGCATTTTCGTTTTCTTATAGCAAATCGTGATTTACCAAACGATGTTCCGGTGGACTGGACATCTATAAATACACAAGTAGGAAATGCTGGTGGTCAGGGTGAAGTACGCAAAATATTCTATAAAAATGATTCAACGAAAGCGGCAGTAATAAAAATTTATTCACATGACATCAAAACAAAAAAAACTAACGAAGCACAAAATGACTATTTGAAAGAACGAAAAATGCGCGCTCATCGAGAATTAGTCGCTTTAAAAGCACTACAAGGTAACTCTTCAAAAAAATTTCTTCTTTATAAATTCTAAAATGCTTATTTATTTTTTAGGTGTCAAAAATGTTACTGAATTAACGCAATATACAAATGATTATTCAAATATACCTAACGAAATGGAAGATGCTATAACTGCAGATAAAACTTTTTGGATTATTATGAACTATATTAATGGAGAAACTTTAGAAACGTTTATGGAGAAATATAAAGATATAAACTTGCTGAATGCTGTTAAATTAACTCAAAAATTGCTTTTCATAATCAAAGGTATTCATAGCAGAGGTGTTATACATCGTGATATAAAACCAAGCAATTTATTATTTATCTGTAAACCAAATGTATCAATTGAAAAAGGTGAAATTCATGTTATTGATTTTGGACTGTCGTATATTGAAACTCGTGAAGATGATGTTGGCTGCTCTTCTTTCAAAGAAAAAGAAATATATAGACGAACACATCTGGGTAACACTATAGGTAACATTTTTTTCCGTGTTCCACAGCTCAATGCACCGGTGTTCAAGGACAAGACACATAAAGAACGAAATGTGCTGATACATGTTCGTCGTAGTCCAACAATTGATGCTTCAAGTGTTTGTGCAATTTTATTTTGGTTGTTAACTGGCATTGAACCAGGACCTAAGCATCGCAATAATGAAAAGAAAGCACCACATCAAGTTGAAAATGCTTCCACGATAATTATGCTAAAAATAAATGAAGCTGCCAAACAAACAGGTATGTAGTATCATTGAAGTAGATGTTTTTTGAAGTCATTACCTATTGTAAAAGATCAAATTCTCTATGGGTCGTTGATCTCGGTTGCATTACTCTTATCTGATACTTTGTCTACGACTGAACTGAGTTAGGCATATGATTAGACCAATTATTGTCCCTACAGCTTTCGCGTCGAGTAGTTATCATGTGAGTCAGTTCGAATAAACTAACACAGACATTAAATTCTTCTTCAAGTACCCAATTCTCTTTGAAGTTGAATCACATTAGCAATATTTTTTTATTACAGGCGTTGCACAGGAATTAGTATCTGGATTAACAAACCAATTAAAAAATTATGTTATGACAACCTTTGACAAAGGTTTTGAATATGCGGAGTATCAATGGACGGTTGAACAGTTAGAATATCGTTTAAAAGCAATTATTTACATTCTCGAACAAACTCCTATTCCATTTCATCAACAACTCAGTAATGCGACGAAAAGTTTACTTGCACTTGAACCAACTACACTTCGTTCCAATCAAAATTCAATCAACATGATATTTAATAAAGCATCAGTTGCATTTGAATCTGCCAAAGCAAACTTTATCGACCAACATCCATCATGTTCGTGGAACGATGGTCATTGTCATTGGTTGGAATATCGACAAGATATGTGTGAACGTAAAAATTTTGATTTATTATCTTATCAACGAAATATACAAAATTGGAGATTGATACTTATTTGCTCTGCTCATATTAATCAAAATGGAAAGATAACTACATTAACCATTGCTACTGATTCGAATGGTGTCTATATCGAATTACCACTAGGTCAATACACTCAAGAGGAATTAGACAATTTAAATATTCAACTCGAATTTGAAAAAGAATTAATTAGTCTTTTACAAGTTATATGCAAACCAGGGCATACATCAAACACTGGATCTGTACCTTTAACAAATTAAAAAAGTAAGAACAGGATTTTAATAGTTCATATTTATATAGTTATATAAACGTAGGATATCTTAAGCCAAGATTCGAGTATTTTCTAAAACGATTCGGCTATGATTTAGACAAAGTTTGACCAAAAGTTAACCAAGATAGAACTCGACGAGCTCTATCGATTGAACACCCTATTTGTTAAATTTTAATAAGTTATAGAGGAGAAATTCTCTGATGATTATTATTACATTAGTAAATTTACTATTATAATTTTTGACCCCTCCACCCCCTTTAGAGGTTAGACCAAGTTTGCCCAAAATAGAACTCAACGAGTTCTATGGATTGGACACCTTTTTTGTTTATATCCTGATTATGAAATAATACAGGTGATGTCTTTTAGTTTCATTGGTGATAGTTATATACGTTGTAAATATTTCGACCTGAATTTTCATTAGTTAATGGTGATTCTTTTTTTGCATATGTATAAAATAATAGAGAAATAAAATTTCCTCTATAAAGTAAAATTATGATTATGAAATAAATTGCTAACGATTCCTGTTACCACATATATATAGGCGCCGCGTAAAAAGAGACATTATACTATGATTGTGATTAAACTACATTTATTCGAATTGGTGCAGTAAAGCACCTTATTTGGACATTTGCTTGTTTGTCTTTTAACTTTGTAAACTTTTTTTTAGGTAGAAACTGCGAGTGGTGATACATAACAACAGAGCACACTTCACCACTACTCTTATTGGTAGAGATCATACATTATACATTTATCATGGTCAAAAATATATACGAGAAGCGCAAAATTCAATACACTTGATAGAAGATGGTATTTTTGACCAAGTTTATGAGTGTGAATACTTTTTGTGTTCTTTTCTGTTCATAATTCTTTTTGTGTTCTTCTCTCTTAATAATTCGTTTTGTCATATTATATAGAAAATAAAATAAAATAATCTTTGTGTGGATGTAGATAATATCAATAAAATATCTTCTCTCATTAATAGTCTGATCCTATTAAATGTAATCAAGTTGATAATGAAGACTCTAATGTTTCTTCTAATCAATTTTTAATCATGAAGAAGATGATGATTACAGATAATTCATTTGAACTTGGAGCAAATATGAAAAGCTTTTGAACTGACTGATTTTTCAGCAGGCAAATCTTGAAACAATTAAAAACGGGAATCAGTTAATGCGAACGAAAAACAAAATGCTTTCTATAAATTCGATGGAGAATATTAAATTGGAACTTAAGATTAAGAATTATTTATAAGTTATAAAAATGATTTTTGTTAGTTGTTCTTCGATATTTGTTATCATTATTTTCAATTTAATAAAAATTCTCATATTACATCAATCATGTAAAAAACAATTGAGTAGAAGATCTTTTCTTTTACTAAAAAAACTTTCCACATAGTTTTCTATTATTATTTTATATCTAAAATAATTAAAAACTAATTATATCCATTAGAAAAGTTGAATTATTCGTAGTTGTTAATAAATTTTTAATTGATATAATTATTTATTTCAACTTCTATTCTATTCTAGTATTTCGAATGTCTTTTTATTCAATCAAATAATGATTTATTTTTATGAAACAAATTTGAAAAACTAACAGTTTTTATATAAACTTTCATTAATAATAAAAAATAACGAATCTTTTATTGTAAATCAATATATATTGAAAATTAGAGGTCTTCTCGTTAAAATATAATTAAAATAATAAAAGATTTTTATTAACAATATTTTCATTGAATATCGACTATATAGATCATCAATCGACACAATTAGTGTCTGATAAAATACAATTTTTTTTAAACATTTTTCTGAGTGAAATATATCGTCTTTCTTTTTTGCTGTTTTTTTGAAAAACCATGATTTTAAAAGAAAATCTCTTCTGGTATAATACCTTCATTTTCTTTATCAGATATTCGTTATCTTCAAAAGAATCTTCGATCTTTGTATAATATTTTCTCAAAAATATATTTACTAAGATTAAGTTAAAATTTTCTGTAATTGTCCTTCTTCTACGATTGAATTGATTGCCGAATGAAAGGAAATTTTAAAATAAATAACAAAAATGAGGATATGGGTGCGGATGTACCTGTGGGTGGAATGGTTGGGGGTATGAATATAGATAAGGCTGCAAACCACCGACACCCTGGCAAAAATTTAATGATAGTATTTTTTTAATAAAGAACATAGATAAATAATATCTTTTATTTTCTTGA